GCAAAAAGTTGCGCCGTTAGTTGTTGCCGTATAGCGCGCCTCACTTTCATAACAATATTAGTGTTCACCAAGATGTGGCCGACGTTTCGACCGGATGCGCGCCCATGTCACGCCGGTCACTTTGTCATGCCGCCCATGCGAAACCAGCGGGCTAAAAACGCATTTGATAGCACGTGCCACACGCTGCCCAGTGACTGCACCACCAAAATTTTTGACATTGCATGCTATCTCGTGCACCCGTGCATCGTGTCCAAATTTTACTCGACGAGTCCGATTCAAGTGGGCACACCGCAACGCAGAATGGGACAGGCGGACACAGGCTCAATAAATGGCAAACATATATAGTGTGTGGACGTTAACATCAGTGCATTGAAGATAACTGATCAACACTGCGTGCCTTCTAAACTCGAGGGGAAAGCATATTCAGTACGGTGATAAACCTTACCCACGCAAGTTATTAAAGGCGGCGGGCTACATCCGATTATGTGTAAGCTTTATCTACATGGGGATAGTCGAATTTGTTACCACCTCGTTCGTCCTACGCCGCGAAGACATCTTGCCGGTCAGGTACAGCATGGGTGACAGTGTAAATTTTTGGCCGCCTATTCCAGCCTATAGACCAGAGCAAGCGATCAAAGTCCAGAGTCTGTCGCAGAATGTGATATCCCGGGCGTTTCGGGGATAGCTGTTGCAGCCCGTAGCTTTTGCACGCTTGTTCTTAGATTACATGACGAGCGTATTTCTGAACGAGCTGAGCATCTCGAGATGGTGTTAATTGTGAGATTACGACTCCAACACTACGACGGCATAGTCCATGACTGGTGGCATGAAGCCGTTGTGTGTACGCACGCAACGGATCGAAGTTATGGAAACTCCAGACCGCGTAAGCTGTTAAATATGCACAAATAGTGCCGGAGACCCGACCGGAAGACTACCAGCACATGAATTTCATTTAAGATAGGACAGTACGGTTACGCCCAAAACCTACAAAATTAAAAACTGGACTATTTTATCATGTCGCTTGGACGATGCGAAAAACATGACCGGCGTGGAATGACCCAGCACGCAGCCGGGGACCTTGGCTACGTTTCGCCCAGTGCTTAAATTCGCATGGCGTAATCGAAAAAAGAAATTGGATTTTTTATTCTGAAGTGGCTTCCACTTTATGCTGCTATTAGCTGGCTAAAACCTATGTCAAAGACAGAAAGTGGTAAAAACATTTTCAGCCTGCCGACGTGTCATTCATTCCCGGTTTTAAAAAAACGCAGGCGGATAGAGAGCCTCCTTAGAAGCGCACCGGGCCGACACTAGCTGTCGATGGCAGAAGAGCCGAGTCGTTAACGGTTTCGGCCGTTGGCGTGATATATGATCCCACTCCATTTGGTGAGGCCGGTCGGCCCAGCCGGACACACGTGCCATTAGCCGGTGCGACGCGCCGGACGCCCGCTGAGAGGGTGCCCGCTGCCACCTGTTGACGTCATCACGACGCTTTGGGCGCCGAGGCGCTTGTTGGGCGCTGCTCGCCAGCCCTCAAGTGACGCCGTCCGCAAAGATTTGAGCACTGATTTGAGGAAGAACGATGGGATTTTTCCAAACTAGGGTAGAACTAAAGTTACTATCAAGTGCTTCTCTACCACAGAGAAAGGGAAAGAGCCCTGGTCTTGAGCGTGACCCTAGTCAGCGTGGCATTGCGTAAGAAAAGTAGCGCACGCTTAATGAACAAAAACAAACACATTGGACAACTCTGTGGAGCATGTTTCAGAGACCTACAATGAAGCTCATGCCCATTAAGTTCGCGGCGGATTGTCGGGCAATGACGCTCGTCATCCCATGTGACGCTCCCGATCACTGGCCTCGGATGCCAGTCCTATAAGGACATCGTAATCTCATTCCGAGCCATGTTGTGGTATATATCTGAGAAACAACTCAGGTCGCGCCCCTGCAACAGCACCAAGCTGCATCTGTAATGTCTAGTGTGAAAATGCAAACACCATGGTTGGATGTTAGGTTTTCTCACTTTGGTCGATTGTGATTATGGATGGAATTCATTTCACTGTGGGAGGAACGTTATCTGATTTTACTTATGCTAGTTGGTTTGATGGCACAAGTTGTGATCAAATACTAAACGCAAAGCCTGGAACAGTTTCGACAACTTTTTTCAATGTGTATATATATATGCATATATATATATATATATATATATATATATATATATATATATATATATATATATATATATATATATATATATATATATATTTGTATATATATGTATATATATATATATATGTATACATATATACATATATATACACACATATATATATATGTATATATATATACATATACACATACATATACATATATATGCATATATATACACACATATATATATATACATATATATATGCATATATATATATATATATATATATATATATATATATATATATATATATATAAGATAATGGTTTTCACTGAGTGTGGGCTCGTTTGCCTGATGATGTAGCCGTTGTACCGCGAAACGCGTCGCGAGTAATGTATGATTCACGAGTTGATCGACGTATGTTGATACGTGTATATATACATATTATATATATATATATATATATATATATATATATATATAGTGTTTACCAGTCATAGCATGAGGCTTCGGAATTCATCTGCAACATTGCTACGCCTACATTTTATTAGTCATGCTACCCATCAAACTATTCCTGCCATCCATAAGACAACCGGAAGATTGGTATTTTATCGTTACACGTTCCAGGCGACAGTGTACTACCATCGCAGCTTACATGCCGCTCATGTTGCACGGGTTTCAGCGATGGCATTCCACCCGATCTCCATGTGAACTTTGATTGTGGCCTTGATTGCATCTGTGATCCTATTCGGTCTTCCGGATTTTTCGTAACATGTTTGATCGATTTTAATGGGCCAGACTTCGAATAAAAGTTTATAGTCTGAACTAAGTTTTCCATGTGTACCTTAGCATTTTTACTAACGTCGGTGTCGGTCTCAGGCTCTTGTAAATAGGAATACAAAAAACATGTCATATCCACCAAACAAACTGTCACAAACCGTCAAAGAACGAACGTCACCAAGCGACTCCTAAGCTTTGCGCTTCCCTACCATTTTGCGTTATTTGCAGTATCTGCCTTCGACACTACAGTAGGATCAGCAGCGAATCAGCTAGTGCGTTGCATCAACATCTGCTGTGAAACATGTCGACTGGCGAAACAAAAATATCCTCAGTGTTGTAGGTACCCGCCTTTCCCACCCACCATCCTAATTTTCCCCGTTATTTTGTGTTATATGTAGATCTTGTCCAGGCAAATCGTCTGGCATTTCATTAAACAGAAAACTAATCAGTATATTCCAAGATCTCAAGGGACTCGAGGCAGTGCATGCCTTTGCTCGTCAATCTACCCTCCTTTTCCTGTTCGATCACTTAGCGACAAGCAAGTATCTATCAAGCCAGTTCTTGAATTTATAACTATTTGCATGAGTGCTTTCATCGCTTTACTTTCCTTAAATTGATCAAAAGTGGGTTTAGCAGCAACTACGCAATGCATTATCAATGGCGGTTCGACCCGACGTTGCATTGTGGTGACGTCATAGGACATCTTCCACCAAATCCGCTCTTTGAGGTCGGGGTAATCTACCTGATTGTTCAGGCTTGGGTCGGTTGGGTCGGGCGCTCTTCTCACATAGATAATTATCTGGCACGCGTCAATGGATTTGATGCATCCGCCTCTACAGCGTTTTATTGTCACATCCACATCACTTCGAATAAATGAACGCAAAATCGGCTCTGTCATCAGCACACAGCTCGCTTGACTGTATGACTGTACGCCCAGACTGTATGCACCATTGCCTCTCTTATATCTCTTGGTGGATTTATCTCTTCAACTTCTTTATCAGTATTTTCAGTAAAAGTTGCCAAAAAAGTTACGATGTGGTACATTTAACACTGAATGAGACGGTAGGCCAAGAGATACCCGTCATTTAAGCAGAAGCACATTGATTTTAGCATCGAAATCAACATTGGTTCATCGTGATGTCGGTTGCATATCATCATCATTGCATCGACGATTCAGTTTTTTTATGGACATGATAAATGAACATGATGTGTTGAATGTGATATCAACTGGTTCATTGATACCTGAGCGTCCGATATTAGAAAGTAATCAGGCAATTTGTGCGTCTAAAGGGACTGCGGTTCGCCCTGCATTGCCTCACATAAATCGAGCTTTTTTCTCCTAGGAAGAAATTCAGGTGCCGACATATTGTCAGGTCGTTTCAAATGGGAAACTATCAGAAGTCGCCAAGTTCCATCGGTCTGGCTGACTTAAGCGGGCGACGAAATGACAGAAACCAAAGGGAGGTCGCTTCGTCGCCCGCTTGAAAATGAAGCCAGGATTGCCGCCACGACAGAACGATTCTACGACATGTTCGGTCTTGGCCGTAACAACATTGAACTGGGTGAACCTTTGGAAATGTATATATATATATATATATATATATATATATATATATATATATGCACCAATGACGCTTTTGGGTTATGAAATTTTTACTCTGATACCCCTGATGTCTGATGCCTTGAAATCGGTTTCGTATGCCGCCGGTCTCCAATGTCTTACCACGTAGTTGAATGATGGTGACGAAGACGTCATTGTTTGTCTGCACTTAAGAAGGGATGAGACCATATTTTGAAAACTTTGTCTCCTTCTCGTACGTCTGTCGGTTTCCTCTCTTGACTCCCCTGTTCGCCGCTGTTTTCAATATCGAACCCTCTCTTTCTCGCCGGCTGGCTTTGAGGGCGTCGACGTGTTAGCATAACACACCGCAAGAAGAGCCCAGCTCCTAAAATGGATCCTTAGGTAACGGATCTAGGGCCTGGTTGAGCATTTGATCTCTCCCCTGGCAGCACCCAGCAACACGAGATTGTCTGTCCCGGCCTGTGCAGTCACTGACCTCCTCCGTGTCGACAGGAGCGACTGCAGCCGGCGACGCGACGCCGGCGGCATGCAGAAGGTCTGCTCCGGCTGCTACCGGCGCCGCGGCTTCGCGGCCTCGGATCCGGCCGTCACCGAGTCGTCGCCCATCCTGCCCGCGTACAGCCCTGGTAACGGTACGCTGGCCGCCGCCAAGGAGCTGTACGGCCGGACCGGCGCCGGCTGGCTGGCTGTGGGAGCGCTGCAGACGGCGGCGCAGCCGGCCGCCGAGCCGGGCGGCACCGGCGCCGAGTCCGCCGAGCCGTCGGCGCCGTCCGCCCCGCACTTCCTGCAGGAGCTGGAGCAGCAGCGGCTGCTGGGCCGGCGCGGCGGGCGCGCGCGCGCCGCGGGCGGGCCGCGCGCCTCCGCCCAGCTGCAGGACGACGTGGACCGGGCGCTGCGCCACCTGCTGAGCCGCCAGGAGGCCGAGGAGCACTGCGGCCGCGCCATCAACGAGTGGCGTCAAGTGGCGCTCGTCGCCGACCACGCGCTCTTCTGGCTCTTCCTGGTCATCACCACCGTGTCCAGCCTCATGTTCCTGGTCGTGCTGCCCGTGTACAAGCGCAGCCAGTACCAGAGGCCGCCCTGATGCCGCCCCGGGCCCGGGCGGTCGCGACCGACCACAGCTGTGCGTTGACGGGTGCCGGGGCGCTCGCGCTCGGACCTGGAGCCCCCGTGCCGAGCCCGTGGTTGTGAGCCATTGCGCCACGAACCGAGCGCGAGAGCAGGTGACACGAGACCTGAGTGAGCCCTCCCAGTGTGGGAGGATCGGCCGGCAACCGGGGCTGGGCGAAGCTTGCCAGTCTCGGTGCGACGGGCCCACGGGATGGGCTTTGCTCGCGCGCACGCGCCGGGCTGCGGTGATTTGATCACCCCTGGCTGTGTGTGAGTAGCGTGGCGCGAGACGGTCTGCGCGTTGCTGACCCGTCTAAAGCAGCGGCGCTGGAAAGCCACGGTATGCCAGGCTCAATGGGACAACTTCGGATGCGTCGTGTTTTGCTGTAGCTCTACACGTCGTCAGAAAGAACGCGACATGATGGGGCTTGACACCCAAATGAGTTTCTTTGAAACTTCATGGTTCCTCTAGGCGGTTTTCGTGTGTTACGTTGTGATGTCCGAGCCAGTGATAACAGACGAAGTATTCAGTGACATGTGGTTGGTAGTCATCTCATCTTGTCAGGCTGTTTCCAGCAGCATGATGCTCTTTTTAGGTGGAGTTAGTGGGAAATATAGAGCAAATGTCAATAATAAGCTGGTAGTTGTTTGCGTATGAGAATGTGAAATAGCATAGCTTTGGGCGTGCTGGGTGACAAAAAGAGGATCTCTCTTGTCTCTCTCATGCTGTTTTCCACAAGTTCAGAAAACAGCATCATTTTTGGAAAACATTAATCATTCATCTACGACACTGAGTAACTGCTTATCCGCACAAAATCGTGAAACTTGAATCTCTCGTGAGGTCGCGCAAAAACGGACACCAGACTGTGTTGTGACAGACGGTGTCAGCCGGAGACAAGTAGTCCAAACGTCCGGCCCGGCTCCGGGGCCCGGACACGACAGGAAAACAGACTGAGCGTGGCGCACGGAGCGCGCTCCGCTCGCGCCCCGCTCCGCTGAGCCCTGACTAGGGATCCGGACCTGAGCGGGAGGCGAGTCCACGGGCAGCAGCTGTACACGGCCACGGCAATGCTCCCTCGATGCGCCACCACAGCACTCGCCGGGCTGGTGTAATTACGCTAATGGCGCACAAGCTGGGAGAAATTTTGAAGCGGGTCAGTGGCCACGCGTGCAACCCCATAGTCGTGAGCTACGCACGTCCACGGCAGATACACGGTATAGGTGCAGACGATGTGACGTGAAACAGCAAATTTTGCATGCGTCTTTGAATGAGAGCTGAAATTCCTCAAGCAATGAGGGGCTGCATATATATGGACATTCAGCTCTCCTGCTTTGCTCTTTTTTTGTTAAATGGTTAGCATGAGTGACTTAATATTCGAAGCACTCCACTCTGGATAGGCCGATCCGATTCATTGGATAATGGAAGCACTCCACTCCGGATAGGCTGATCCGATTCATTGGATAATGTCTCCTGTCCCTCCTTGCCAGACAGGACAGCGAATGGTCTTGCTTGTTACGTACATACGTGCAGGTACTCCGGGTCACATTGCATCTCTTTGGTCAGTTTCCGTTCACCAGATCAGCGTGGCCCCTTTTTACCAGGAAAATATGTCCAGATATCGTGTTACCATGGGTCCTGAAGTCCAAAACGCCGCTGTTTACTCCATTTACGCCATTCACCCAAAATACATTTAAATGTATCTTTTTTCCTTCGAGTCTGAATGCATCACTTCCTGTCTGAACGCGCTGTCCCTGGACGACGAAGTTTGAAACGTCCGTTTATTTGTTCAAAGCACGCCGACTTGCCATGCTTTATCTCATGAGCTACGTCGTGGCTGGTGAAACAGACTTGATCCCATCACTTGCAATCGCGATCAGCCGCGTCAGGCTGAAAGTTTAACCCGCTCCCAACTGAGGCACAGACACCATGAATCGCGACATCAAAGCTAACGCGCAGAACTGCCGACACTGGGCTGATGCATTTGGTATGTCCCGCCTCGGCGGCCGGCAGGCTGGAGCGCGCTTTGAGTAGCCGCCAGCTGTCAAGTGGCCGCCAGCGATATGGCGCAGCCGTCGGCCGTCGGCGCTGCACGAGCAGTTCGGGTCGCCAGACGGGACCATCGAGGTCGATTCCAGCGTTTGCCAAGGCTCTAGGGCGGGCATTAGATTCGGAACCCGACTATCATGACTGCCATAGTCCGGAGCAGCACACTCGGGTTAGATGATTGCCTTCGCGCGGAATCGGTACTTGCCCACGTCGCTGTGGCAGTGGCTACAGGGACACTTGCCAGTACAAACCACATGAACGCACAAATATGCTTGTCTTCATCACTTTCAAGCATATTTGTCCGAACAGTGATTTTATTCTGGGCATGTTCAAAGTGTGGAGCAAAGCACAGTGCGCCGCTAGCCCGTTCGTTCCCCCGCTACGTGCGTGGCCGTACTCACTTGATTGCGAGACGTTCACCAGACACCGCGGTGGCTAGGCCATTCGCTTGTTGTCAATGACTTAATGGTCCCCATTGTGGTGACATACGGGAAATTATGATTGAGATGAGTGAAGCGTATGGAAGATGATACCTTAAATCATGCCCATATTTGGCATTCCAACAACACTGAAACAATTGTATGTGTGCTTTATTCTGATATGAAGTACAAGTGCGATATCGAATACTTCCAAAGGTTTTGCAAGCTTATCACAGGAACTTCCACGTTTCTCTCCAAACCTAAGCCCTTCTGTCAGCTCATGAGCCTTATTCATGTCCCAACGTCCTGGAAGCCTCATAGACCCCTGACCCTAATTGGTTACCGTAACGTGTCTCCATATCAGCGTTTTCAGCCTTGCTGCACATAACACACCGGGAGGGATTACAGCTTGATGTCAACTATGTGGAGAATATTACTGACAAAAGATGATGAAGAATTTTAAGCAAAAACGAAGTGAACGAAAAACGCGACGACGATACGGAGACGGATCCAAGAATGGGGGCAGTGGGCCGGAGGGGGGCTGGTGTTCCTCAGCGTTTTCCCCGAAGCACGCGGCTTTCGACAGGGACAAGCCGTCACCAAGACACACCAAGACATCAGCATGGTGTCGTCCGGGTCGGGCCGGCGTCCGTGAGGGAGAAGCGGCAGAAAAAACAAGAGTGACAAAGATCTAGGGATTCGGTGAGCGTCACAAAAAAACAGATAGCAAAAGAGTCATTTTACGCTGCCCGGGGGGCATTAAATAGAGCGAGAGGTCAAACATCATTAGCAATGACGATAGGGTACACGATGGGCCCTATCGTCCACAATCCACGCAACAAGTGGTCGTCCACGATCAGGACGAGGTCCCCGGTCTTCAGATCGGTGGCCTCCTCCGTCTATTTCGGTCTAGCGGTAAGACTGCGCAGATACTCGCGTCTCCAGCGCCGCCAGAAGTCATCTGCGAGCCGTCGCCAGCGTTTCCTCGCTGACAAGTCAATCTCGGAGGACGCGCCGGGGGCAGGTCAGGACCGGCTCCTCCGAGGAGCAGGCGGCTCGGCGGCAGGGTTGCGGGTCGCCTGGCTCTCAGCTGACCTCAGTCGGCGGCCGTCCATTCCGGACGACCTCGACTTCCGCCGCGACGGTCACGAGGGCCTCGTTGGTCGGGCTTGTTGACGCACGGTGGACCGCAGGACGTAGCCTGTTGACCTGACGAGCAGCCCCACGTGAGGCGAGGCACTCGGGTCGGAAGGCGATCGGCAGGCAGCCAATCACCACTCAATCCCACGTGCGGTAAGTGGTCGACGGTACGAAGGCGGACCAGCAATGGGGACAGTGGCCCGGACGGGTGGCCAACTGTTCCCCACGGTGTTCCCCTGAAGCACTGGCGCGGCATGTCCTTCGACAGGGGCAGACTACCACCAAGGATATCAGCCCGGTGTAGTCCGGACCGGGCTGGCGTCCACGAGGGAGACGCGTTGGAGAGGTCAAGAGTGGCAAAGATCTGGTGCTTCCGGCAGGCATGACAGAAACAGATAGTAAAAGAGACATTAACAATAGTTACGGGGCACTAAATAAGCGAGACCTCAGCCTTAAACGACAAGCGAAACGGCACATACATGGTTGAAATAAGTTGGAAAGTTAACAACACACGATATTTCGTCCAAATATGACAGGTAAACTAGTTCCTAACTATACTAGTAAACTGGTTCCTAGTTCCTGCTGTTCATGTGCGTTTTAGCTGAAAGCATTGTTTGCGACTTTCCAACCGGTATGCTCTAGCATTGTCTTAAACACGCGAAACCTGCAGTGCACTTGCACTGTCGACCGTGCTTTGGCGTGTTCTGGATACGCACGCTCCTGCGTCGGCCGGTGATGCTGTGCCGGCGGACGCGCCGGCGACGGTTTGTAACCGGGCGCGGCCGGTGACCAGATCGCGCCCGGCGCTGCGTGCTGAGGTTCATTTAAGCGAGGTCATGCTGCTCTGGCTTTTATGCTGGTGACGAGGATAAAGCTGTTTATGAGGTGTTGTTATGAGTGCACCTGATCCTGCAAGATGTCGCGCGACAACGCAGCAACGGGCCATCTGCAAATCGAGCCGTTCTATCCGGACCCGAACTCATGGACGGAATGGGAGGAGCGACTACACTTTTTCCTGGGGAGCAGCGAAACTACCAGCAAGAGTAAGGAGAAGACTTCTTTTTGATGGTTTGTGGGAAAAGGACGCATTCGCTCATGTTCAGTTTAATTTCGCCGTAGAAACCGCTGAATGTTGGTTTTGAGGACCTGCTTTGCACTGCGAAGGATCGGCGGCATCCTACCCCATTGGTTATTGTCAGCCGATTCAAGTTCGGATCATGCAGCCGCCATGCTGGCCAACGGATTGCTGACTACGCTACTCTATTTCGCAGGGCATCTGAGCAGTGTTCTTTTGAAAACGACCTTGAGGACAGATTCATGGGGCCGTTGGTCACCAGAATGGCGGATGAGCGGATGCAGCGGCATCTTGCGTCTGACAAGATTCTGGACTCCTGCAGAGCCGCGGGCATCTGTTCCTCCATGGAGGCCTCAACCAAGGACGCTCACATGATCTCTAGTAACGGCGAGAGGGTTGGAACCGTCCAGGTTGTGAAGACTGAACCCCGTACGACCTCGGCTGAGCGATGTTGCTGGCGTTGCAGTGGAGGTAACCACGGTGCCGACTCTTCCCGTTTCAGAAACTCAAAATGCTACCAGTGCAGTAGACTTGGCATGTTTCAAGGGGCTGCCAGAAGCATCGGAAACACACGGCAGGCGGTTCGGACCGTGGGCGGCGCCTTGACGGCCGCAGTGACGGCCGACAGCGAGCGACCAACGTCATCGACGCGTCAGATCAAGAGGACTGGGACAGCTGGCTAGAGGCGGACGTCGACAACATTCAGCGGGCAGCAAGCATCAGCAGGGCGGTTTCTGAGAGCAACCCCAGGTGAACTCTCCTCCTCCCCGCTGCGAAGTGCGCTTCCAGCAGACGCAGGTGGGCATGGAGATAGACACTGGTTCTAGCAGTGCATTGATCGGCGGGAGCACATTTCTATCGCTTCGGATTCGCCCCAAGCTGAGCTCCGGCGTTGTCAGCCTGATATCTTACACCGGCAAAGTGATTCCAACGCAGGGCCAATTCAGAACGTACGCTTCATACAAGGACCAAAAGTATGATAGTTCAAGGTTGTGGTGGTGCAACGGAACCGCACGAGCTTATTGGGTCGTGCGTGGTTGAAATGGACTGAAATCGACTGGACGATAGTGCATTCGGTGGAAAATGTTGCGGAAGGTGGTTTGAAAAAGAAGCATCACCGGAGCTCAAGACAGTCAAGTTGCGTCTTGATACCGACAAAAGTGTACCGCCCGGGCTCTTTATAAGATCGCTCGCTGCCGCGCGTCTTCAATAAAAAGGTCGAGGTGTAGTTATGGAAGGACATCGCTGCCGGAGTTCAAGAGCCGGTGGTTAACAGTGGCTGGGCAGCACCATTGATTCCAGTGTGGAAAAGGACAGCACTATCCGGGTTCGTGCGAACCCCGAGCTCACAGCCAATCGATTCATGAATCTGGACAGTTATTCACTGCCCCAGACACATGTCATGTTTTGCATGTCTGGAGGGGTAACAGGTGTTCAGTACGATAGATTTAGCGCAGGCGTACGACCAGCTCGCTGTCTTTGAAGGCCTAAGAAAGGTTCTGACTGTGAGGATGCCTAAGAGTCTCCTGCGCTACTGCCGTCTGCCGCTTGGGGTCAATTAAGCCGTCACTCTATTTCAGAGAGAAAAAGAGCAGGTGCTGCTTAATGTTCCTGGCGTCGCGGCTTACCTTGACGACATCTTGATCGCCAGCAGGACGGCAGACGAACATCTCGAACACTGGATGAGCTACTGACCAGGCTGGGGAAAACTGGTCGAAGGGTGACACCAGCCAAATGCAAATTCCCGGTATCCAGTGCGGAGTGCCTAAGGCGCCTCATCGGTAGTAGCGGTGTCAGCAGAACGCCTTCCAAGGTGTACGCTCCAGGCTGTGCTGAAGCCAGAAAACGCCCAGCAGCTCAAGGGGTTCCTGGGGCTTCTGACTTGAGATATACTCGAGATGTACTTCTGACTTCAGTCAAAACCTGGCGCCACTCCACGCTCTTTTGCGCAGGCGGACAGCTTCCGGTGGGTGCGTAAAGTCCTCACGTGAAGCTCGGTACTGGGCCACTTTGACGTCAGCAAAAGGCAAGCTCGCGTCCGTGATGTCTCAGCTGTCGGAATCGGCGCTGTGCCTGGCTTAAAAGGAGCTCGATGGGTCTGAGAGGTCACTTGTTTCGTATCCAGGAGCCAAGCGAGCAAGAGCAAGCGAGAGACCCAGGTGATAGTAAATACTTCCAAATTAAGCGGGAGGCGCTCGTTGTCGCGGTCGGCGTTAACAGATCTCATTCGTACTTGCTTGGGAACTTGTTTACCCCGGTAGGGGATCACAAATCGCTAGTGACGCTCTTTGGAGAGCACGCGGATCTTCATGAGATGGCGTCTACCGGAATGTACAGGTGGGAGCTGAAGCTACCTGTGTACAAGGACGACATTCGATATCGCCGTACGGAGGGATGAGCAACGCCGACGCCCTCAGCAGACGTCCCCTGCCAGACTTCACATCATCGCGGGGAAAGGTCTGGTATTGTTGGTGGGTGATGGACGTTTTGACGCTTAAAAGATTACGCTGCTGACGCCACGTGACCCTGTGTTATCTCGAGTGATGCACTGCGTCCGGAAGGATGCCTGACTGCATAACTTTGACCCTGAACTGTCCGAGTTCCCTACCAAACGACTGGAGTTGTTCGTCGATTTTGCTGTTCTGATGTGGGGTCATCGAGTCATCATACCCAGCAAGGCACGTGAGGAGCTTTATGCAGCTCGCCCTGGCATTCGTCGGATGAAAGCCCTTGCCAGGGCTGTGTATGGTGGCCTTGCATGGACAAGAGCATTGAGCGCGTCGTGCGCTCTTGCCAGGCGTGCTATGGGAGCAGACCTGACCCCTTTGCATGTGACCCCGGCCTGCCCGTGCCTGGTAGCGAGTACATCTGGATTTCGCGAGCCCATCAAGGGTATTGTTGGTGGTAGTGGACGCACGCTCAAATGGATTGATTTTGGCCAAGATCTTCGGAATGTCCTCTCCAAGTCAACGATTGTAAAGTTACGGAGAATGTTCCCCAGGTGGGGACTCCCAGACATCATTCTCACTGATTGCTAACTACCTCTGTTTACATTAGCAGACTTTCAAAACTTCCTGCAAGAGAATGGAATTCATCACAAATCGATTGAACCTCGTCACAATCAGGGGAATAGCCTTGCTGAGCGAGCAGTGCGTGACGTGAAGCGCGCACCGCAACGGGACGACGACAACCGGAGAGCCACACTGTCTAGGTGGTTACTCCGTCAACATATCATACTCCAAAACGCTGCGTCTCTCACGCCCTCAGAGCTCATGGCTGGCCGTCTCACCCGAAACCGGTTGGACCTGTCGCATCCGGACATGCGGAAAAGGATGCTACTCCAACAGGTGACCCAACAGGTGACCACGATTCCCAGGTAAAGCGAGATCGCAAATGTGACGTCGGAGATCCTGTATTTGCGAGAAACTGCGGTTTTGGAACACAGTGGGCTGCTGAAAGGATCGTCGGCATCGATGGCCTGCGTCGTATGCCGTCAGAATGGAGGGCGGCAGACTCTGGCGACGGCATACTGATCGGATAAGGCGCAGGCTAGACGGTATGTTCACAGGATCTCCTCAGGCAATCGCCGACGCTGACGCGGCCTTCCGTCATGATGCCCACGTGAAGGCCCCCGTCCGGGTACCACGGATGGCTCCAGCAGAGGTGGCGCCACCGGCGGAAGCCGCGGTGTCCGGCCAGCGCACGCCTCTGCCGGACACGCTGAGCTCGGTCATCCATGCGATATCGGCGTCACCATCGGTGTCCCGGTTCCTGTCCTGCGCGTGTGCTGAGTTCATAATTATCTGGGGTGTAATTTCTGTGTTATCGTTTTCGCGGGAGACAGTGCAGTGCACTTGCACTGTCGGCCGTGCTTTGGTGTGTTCTGGATGCGCGCACCCCTGCGTGGGCCGGCGATGCTGTGCCGGCGGTCGCGTCGCCAGCGGTTTGTAACCGGTCGCGACCGACGATCCGGCTGCGGCCAGCAGTGAGTGCTGAAACTCAACATGGCCAGTTCAGGTTGCTCTGCCCTTTGCAAAACCCTGATGCTAAAAACTCCATTCTCAGTCACCTTTGGGCCCGCTTATCGACCCCAACAGCTGAATCGCATTGATGAAAATCGAACAGCTCTCAGAAGCATGAGAACATTCCGACCCAAACCAAAAAAAACATAAAAAATGAACTTAAGCTTCCAAAGGACCGTCATATATCGCCCGTGGATGCTGCGGCACTGTCCGTAGTCATATGTGCAAGGCTTTAAGAAAACGGTATTGTTATCAGTGACGTCACTCCTAAGTTTGCTGGTAAATTACTCAAACGCTTTTTCCAAAGCTAGAGGTAAAGTGACGCAGGCAAGACATTGTTTGGGGTGGTGACTGTGTTTCAGTACTGTGCTGTTTCAGTATAGGAAATTCGTGGTTGCGCTGCTCTGTAAGGTGTGCATGAAAATGGGCATGAATTTCGTATTCACCCGTCCTGGTCACATTGAATGAGATGGAAATAGACAGTGGTTTGTGTGTTGGGCTTGGGGTTGGACCAGTTACGGTTCAGTGCGTGATGGGTGGACGGCCTCTGCGTGGCGGGACGGGGATGGTGCGACTTTGGGTCATTGCGGACCGGTAGTCTGAGGTGTGACAGTGCGAAGTTTTTTTAGGAATACCCTCATTTCTTGTATGGCTGAAACCAGAGAATTTTGTGCTGGTGGGCTGTATGCCTTGCTTTAATTTGTTTAACTTAAACTCTGGTATTGCCTAACATTGAAATTGAATGCTCTACTCAGGACATTTTGTAGGGTGACCTTTGTATGTTTGGGCAGCTCTAATGATGTAATGCATTCTGTTTTAACCTTTGTATGCATGGGCAATATCAGTGATGTAAAATAGCCACTTAATGTGCCAAGGGCTCAAGAGTGAGCCATGCTCAGAGGTCAAAAGTCACCAATGCTTACTTATTTCTGTTTTAAGCTGCAGAATATCAATCAGTGAACATGACAAAAGAAGAGATCATTATCAAGCCCACTGTGGAAGAGGTCACGAAGGAGTTGGCTGCCTTAGTGGAAAATGAAGCCAAAGCAGCCATTGATAGCAGAGGAAAGTTTGTCATTGGATTGTCTGGTAAGTATAAGGCTTAAAGTATAACTGGCTTTAGAATAAGATTGATATAACACTTTTCATGCAAAAATATGGTTTGCTGCAAAGGTCCTAAAAGAGTTACTGTGAGGAATTGTGGAAAGCTTAACATGGTTTATTTTCCTGTTTTTGTTTAACCACTAGGCCTCATTGAGTTTTCTTTAATTATGTGTTCATGACTTGTTTGACAATTTAAGCACATTTCAAATATCTAAAATAATCAGCTTTGTGACCTAAGCTCTCATAATTTTCTAAGCTAGTGTTTGTGTCTGTACCAGTTGATGTGTTTTTAAAACATTTGGTTTCTATAGTTGTCCTTCTTAAACTGTTGACTTTGTGCGAGGCTAATTTTCATCATTGCATTATATATTCCAAGTTTGTGCATTGCTTTTTCAGTTGGTATGCAAAGTAAGACACATTTTTTGTAGTGCATGCTCAGAAGAAACAATTGTTATTTGTAGATCTAGAATGAATGTGTTATGTCACATCTTGTTGGGACTCATACCACAAGTAGTATGCAGCTGATAGCTTATGTAGCATTTCACAAACAAAGTTAGCTGAAGTATTTAAAGATTTAACCAACATAGTTAATCCTGCAAGGCTAAAACACTTAAGTTTCTGGTGTTTGCTGTCAGGTGGCAGTCTGGTGAACTTCCTCGTGGCCGGCCTGCCATCAATCAGCACTGACTGGTCGCGCTGGCACGTGATCTTCTGCGATGAGCGCCTGGTGCCCGAGGACAACGCCGACTCCACCTTCGGCGTGTACCGGCGCCACCTGCGCGACCAGGGCGGCGCGCTGCCGCTAACCGAGGCGCAGTTCGTGCGCGTCGACCCGGCGCTGGCGCCGGCGGCCGCCGCCGCGCAGTACGCCGCCCAGCTGGAGGCCTTGCTCGGCGCCGGCACGCCGCGCTGCGACCTGCTGCTGTTGGGCATGGGTCCGGACGGGCACACGTGCTCGCTGTTCCCGGGCCACGCGCTGCTGCAGGTGACGGACCGCACCGTGGCCGCCATCACCGACTCGCCCAAGCCGCCGCCGGCGCGTGTCACGCTGACGTTCCCCGTGCTGAACGCGGCGCGCGCCGCCGTGTTCGCCATGGCTGGAGCTGGCAAGGCGGACATGGTGCGCCGCGTGCTGCGCGCGCGCGAGCCGCTGCCGGCGGCGCAGGTGCGGCCGGCCGACGGCCGCCTGGTCTGGATCCTGGACCAGGCGGCCGCCGCGCACCTGTAGCCGTTCGGGCAGCGTCCCGGGGCGGCTGCACTGCGGCGGGGACCGCGGCCTCCTCTGCACAGGTGTAGCGGGCGATGGCGCCACGTCCGCCCCGCGCCTCTGGTGGAGTCACGGTTCGGCACCGGATCACTCGTGCACGGCTGTAGGCATCGTGAGCACGTCTCCTCCGCACGGGTTCAGGGTATAGGGGATGTTTGCCGCACATGGCTGTGGTGCTCTGACGCCGACGCCGCCTCTGTGCTTAACGCGTGTTGAACGAGCATCGTGACAAGCTGGCTGGGAGCTCGGTTACCGACTCCCGGTTATTGCTCGGCTGCAGTATATCTCGCGAGGTGCCGGTACTGGCGTGCCGTCCATGCCGGATTGGCCAGGGCGGTCGCCGTCTCTCGCACAGCCTATTTGATGATCGGAGCTTTTATACATTAGCGTGTAGATAGTGACAGGTATCGGGCGAACATATAACTTGCCGCTGAAGAGGCGGCTTTGTGGATCTTTTACTCTTGCTTTTATCCTCAAATCCGTGAGTGTCCGGCCTTTGGTGTGAGGTTGCACAGCGCGAATGTGATGAAATACATTCCAGCGTTTTGTTAGAACGTAGGCTTATGTATCCTAGAGGTGATTTGGAGAATATTATCTCGACTTGGATACTGGCTTAAGCCATCCATGCTACCGTGATATGTCTTGTCAGGTTTACCTGTCTATTTTTCCGTGCTGGGCCTTGTTCGTACAAATATAAACCCACGAACATGTCTGTGTGTTGTATTCTACGTCTAGAATGATGAAACAATTCATTGTTAGTTTACAAAAATAAAGCAACCTCGAAAACACCATGCAAAGTCATTCTGCGCCCAAACCTGTGCCGCTACATGCGATGGCGTGCACTGAACAGAAACGATTGCGAGCCATTGCGGTGCTGGGACCAGCTTGGTCGGCGACAGGGTCACTTCATGGGCGTCGGTAAGGCCTCCCTCGTGCAAGCCAAAACCACCGCACAGTGCGTCCGAGAAACATCGCCGCTCTTAAACGCCAAGCACATCATTCCGTCAGCACGTTCGCCATTGTAACAACGGCCATAACCGGGAAAGGTCGGCAGATCCCTCCCTTGGAATGTGGAGGATTGATGGTATGAGTGCTGGTATCGAGATGGTAGGTGCTTTGGCCACACCAGTGCCATTATGAGGCTCCGCCGACCGGTGCTTGTTCGGAAAGCGACGACTGAAAAGACTGGCGCGTGCTAGAGTGCCTGCTCTGAAGACCTGCTCAGCTCCAGTCACATGTGGCGAGCGAACACCGTGTCCTACGGTCACGTTTGATCAACATCAGGTGTTTGATACGCTGATACGATGAGTTTGATCGCCGTCAGAACTGCAACCGCCCAGCCGGCGGTGGAGTGGCGGCTGGCGCTCGGATGCGGCGCGCACCCTAGAGGCGACCTGGTCCAGCCTGAGCGCCTCTCAACTGAGCGCTTGTTTTTTGAAGCGGTTCGTATGGTCCTGTTAGTCCGATTTGTTTCGCATATCGCAAATTGACGGTCTTTAGGGTGTCCTGAGACGGGCATGAGGAGCAGAGCATCTGCCCTTGACTTGACTTTGACTTGACTTGACTTGACTTTGTTGGACACCTCAGTCTCTGCCTGACACAACGTGACGCATAGCTTTGCAAAGCCGACTGTTGGTTGCAGATTTCCTATCGCAGTTCAAGCCCTATCCAGCAGTGAAACATTTCCTTCAAGACAGACGGCACAGGGCTATAAAGCAAGCGTAAAGACCCGATCTAGGCGACAGTCACCAACACGTACTCATTCACCGCACGACGCAAAAGCAGGCAGTCACCGCGCGGCCCGCTCGGCTCGATGGCGGGGGCGGGGGCGGGGCCCGGCGACACCGGGCTGCGGTGCTGGCAGTGTCACTCGCGGGCCCCCACCACAGGCGGCAGACTCTGGCGCGGCCGCGCGCGCAGCGGTGCAGCGCCCCGTCCCGCCGCGCGGACGTACAGCGGCGTGGACGAATGGTGCGCCGCCGGGGATGGTCTCCCTGGACGCCTTCCTGGGAAGCAGGTGACCGTGGTCAGTGAAGACATGAGTCCAGGTCACAGCAGGGAATCGGACAGTGCGACGAGGGTTTAACCGGCGGTGAGCGGCGCCACGAGCCGGGCTAGGGTGCGGCCAGGTGGGGACATGAGCTGCGCCAATTCAAATCAGATCCATATCGCATTCAGCATCTCTACGCCAGTAGTTGACAAGGGGGGGGGGGGCAATCGCTGACAACCATCCTGCGCGTTCCGGCCTGAGGGTCAGCCATAACGATGTTTCCGCGTGCCCCGAAGTGTGGTGGGTCCATGGCCGTCTCGCAAACGTTACGGACCAACAAGCGATGGATTCGTTTAGCGGCCATTAGTGTCGCTGGATGTCGCAGTTGAATGTCTCAATGGTACAGGTGAATGTGTGTGCGTGTGCCTTCATGGACGCAATGATAACGAGGCATTCAAAGGGCCGAATGTAGTCTTCTCAGCCCATCACAGAACGACGCTAGCCGTCCGGTCCTACTGAGTTTCGCAAGATTCGGGGGTCAGCACTACTTCTACCTACCGGTCCAAGTAAGTACTAGCGGATGGAGCGGCGGCCTCCGAACAGGTTCATGAGGCTCCAGTCGCTGTTCTGCGAGTCGTCGGCACCCCCGTCCACCTGCGGTCGAGTGGAGAGTCAGTCAGAAAGGCAGCGATGCCCTGGTCCCCGCGCCTCCCCTGCACATCAGGCTCGTGGTCCCAGCTGTGTTCGGAGGCTTCGGTCCGCACAGCTCAAATTGGCCCCGAGAAACCCCCGCCTTAAGACTTGATAATTAAGATGTTGGAATGAGATTAAAGTTCAGGATAACATGTGCAATAGCTGCTGATATTGTACAATAGGCAGCTGTTGCATACAGTAATGTTGGATGTTGATCGAAGCCTAGGATATCATGTGCAATAGTGCAATAGCTGTTGCCTAAAAAGCACATGATGCTATATGCTTTTTAGGCAGCAGCTATTACACTCTAAGGCCGGAAGAACCTTAGCGAACGCACACCAGGTGGAGAGTAAGCTTCAGTCAGCAGCTCACGTGGATCTCTTCATCTCGGAGGGAACCTTGCACCTGAATAGAGATACCGCGCCGCGCGATGTTATGCACTGACGCATTGTGATCCTCGCCACTTGCCTGTCCCGGTGAGAGGTGGTGGGACCGCCGGGTGGTGTAGCTGGCCGACCTGTTGTCGCGGTGAGAAATACGCTTGGCGATCTCCTGCAAGCAGCGGGCGTCCAGGAGTTGGTGAAACACGCACAATGGATCATGGATATATCAAGAGAATCAATGATGCCAGGTTTGGTATCCACATTGTGAGGTAGTTCAGAAAATGCGCTCCGTTCACGAACTGAACAAGACGTGGTGATGCAGTAGAATAATTTACAAGTTTGGTGAGATTATGCCACAAGAAATTATCGAACATTGCCATCGTAGGTCACTTAACTGCCGGAAGCGAGTCAATCCAAACGCACCCGTGCCCAAACCCCACACTTGACCACAAAACGAAGACACTCCTGATCCTGAAGACCTCACACACCCCACCGTGCTCCGGCGGCTCACCTGCCCCTCCATGTCGTACAGCGTGGTGCTCATGTTGTTCCCGACGAACCAGGTCTGACCCTTCATCACCAGAGAGTGGGGGGCATCGTGAAGCTCATTGGCCTCCGAGGCCCAGACGGTGGTGTCCTCTCCCGGCCCCAGCTTGATGGCGCGGTGGAACTTGTAGTCGGTCTCGTTGCCGTCCGCCTTCCGCACCAACTGCATGCCGCCCAGAGACACCTGGTGGGGAACGGGTACAAATGGTCATGAACACCTCGTGGCGACAAAGCGTCACAGTCCAGGGACACCTGGTGGGGAACGGGGTAGAAATGGTCATGTCGCTCTAGAATACCCCGTGGCGACAAAACGCCACAGTCCAGGGACATCTGGAAGACGATGGCGGAACAGGCGGATGGCCAAGCCGCCCAAATAGACCTGATGGGGGAACAGAGCTACTTGTGGTGATCGAGGATTGGTGGTTGATTGAGCAGTGAAGAGCAAAACGAATCTTTCAAGATTCGTTATGCGTAGGCCCCGCACCCACTGCTGCGGGCCGACGAAACTATCAGCCAGCACTAAGGTTTGAATCAAGCAACTCTCCGCGCCTGGTTGTAAGGCAAACTCTCCCAGCTGAACTAGTCCGTTCCCAGTAGGTTTGTCTGTGTACTGGCTTGTGCATAAATTTGCTGTTCTTATTCCTCCGTGAACAAGTCACTGCGGAGAACTTTTCACGGCGCGTTCACGTTCAAAGGGTTACTTCTTAACAAATCGATTTAACACCGCATTAAGTCACATGATGTCAGGAGACAAGCAACGGTCACATGAGGTTAGGAGACAAGCCACAATCACCTGATCGCACTGCCTCATCGTTTCGATCAGATATCACGTGCCGCTTCATTGTTTTGATCAGATCTACCCGGTCCTGTGTCTGCAGGCGTGCCTCACCTCCTTGCTGGACTTGTTGTGCAGCTTGACGAACTTGCCGTCGACGTCCTCGTCGATGATCTGGATGTCGCCGTGGCAGGTAGACGTGACGCCCACGCCGGACGTGGAGGCCTCCTCCGACTCGATCAGCGTACGCTTTCTCTTCCCGGTAGCGCCAGCAGTGGCGGCGCGGCCGCCAATGCGACTGGAGCCTCCGGAAATCTCCACCAGGTGGTGGCCTCCCGGCGACAGCTTCAGGCGGCTCTCCTCCGACTCCAGCAGCTTGCGGTAGGCGGCGATCTCGACGTCAAGCGCCACCTTGATGTCCATCAGGTCCTGGTACTCCTGCAGCTGATCCTGCATCATGCGCTCCAGCCGGCGCAGCTCGTCGTTCTTGGCGGCCAGCATGGTGGCGCTGGACGTGCGCTCGTCATCCAGCTGGCGAAGGAGTCGGTGTAAGATCGGGGACGTCAGTCGGGTCGGGGGTTATGTCGGGGCACGGGACTGTAACTTATCCGACATGCGCTGCACCGGAGGCGTGAGAGTGGTGCTATAGTGCCAGGACAAAAGGCCAGGGACGTGACGTGACGTGACGTGACGTGACGTGACGTGACGTGACATGACGTAACGTGACGTGGACGTGACAGAGGTTTTAACGCAACCAGCAGCGATGCTGTTATACTTTTTAGACTAGATTATCTTAGCCGTAAGTCCCAGGCTACCTAGCCAGTTCCGACTACAAATAGCACAAGTTGCTGATCTCAGACACACAGCTGACAATAACATGACTTAGTTAATGAGCATCGACCACGGTTTTCCTGTGCCTAGACATAATAGAATGTCATCAATCGTTGTATAGCATTCATGCAGCACTCAATTCGTCCAAATGATGCAAGCACTTAGGCACTCATAGCAGCCACCAACGGAAGATCCTCGCGCCGCGGAACATCGCAGATGCCCGCCAGCGGTCTCGCCATCATTCACCACGTGACTTCTAGATGGGGGGGGGGGGCGGCGGCAGCGCGTGACGCACCTGTCTCTCCAGGTCGCGGACGCGGGACAGCAGGGTGGCATTGGTGCCCTCCAGCTCGCTGATCTTGCCGGTGAGGCCTTCGATGCGCGTGCGCGTCTCGCGCAGCTCCTTCAGCGTGTTGGCCGTCGACAGCTGATTGCGCGCCTGCGAGTTGCGCAGCTCGGCCATCTGCCAGACAGCAGGCGGACTAAATCAGCTATAAACGGCCAAACGGACCTGGCGTAAGGACTGCACGGACTGTCCGCGGGGGAGGAACCGCTGAGCAAGAGAAAGTGGCAGTCGGTAGGGCAAGGAGGATGTTTCATTGCACATTATATTGAATCTGCGGCTGGGTGCAGCTCGGGTACTTCGTTCACATCGACGGCAACGAATGCCACCACTTCACAGTTTCTCAAAACTGCTGAGCGATAGGGCTGACATTAATGGCACTAGTTGAGCCTCAATGCCTCCGCCTGGTCGTCCCGGCCCTGATGCGTGTCTCGCTCGTGACTGAGTCCGTTATCCCGCTCGTGACTGAGTCCGTTATCTCGCTCGTGCCTGAGTCCGTTGGTGGAATCCGGAACTTTGCCGGCCGCTGGTGCGCCGCGTACCTTGCTGTCGTAGATAGCTTCGATCTCCTCGCGGTTGACCTTCATCTGCATCTCGTACTGGTCGCGCAGCTCCTGCAGCGAGTCCTGCAGGCGCGTCTCGTACTCGTGCTGCAGCCGGCCGTCCAGCTCCGTGATCTCCTCCGTCCGCTTGGCGCGCGTCTCCGTCAGCTGACCCTCGTACACCTGCAGCGCGCGTCACACGTCAGCTGACCCTCGTACACCTGCAGCGCGCGTCACACGTCAGCTGACCCTCGTACACCTGCAGCGCGCGTCACGCGTCAGCTGACCCTCGTACACCTGCAGCGCGCGTCACCCGTCAGCTGACCCTCGTACACCTGCAGCGCGCGTCACACGTCAGCTGACCCTCGTACACCTGCAGCGCGCGTCACACGTCAGCTGACCCTCGTACACCTGCAGCGCGCGTCACACGTCAGCACGCTGCCGCCATCGCACGCGTGGAAGCTCGAGGATCTGCGGCCAGGACGTGTGACATGTGAAGCATGCGACTCCGACCAACAGTGTTGCTGAAACCAACTAGGTGACACAGATTCGAGAGCGAGGCAATGCACAGCAAGCAGTGGGGCCGCGATTAGCTGATTTGTTTGGGAAGCTGCGCATATATCTTACCCTTTTACCACCCCCAAAGAGTGACGTCCCTGACGTGCGACACCACCGACGGTGTTGGCCGTACAGACCCATGGCCTTCCCAGAGGACATGAGGACCCATGGGGACCTGACGCCTCACTCAGGCCACTTACGTTGGTCTTGAACTCGAGTTCCTCCTTGAGGCTCTGGCAGCGGTTCTCCATGTCGACCCGGGCCAGCGCCTCGGATTCCAGCTGCTTCCGCATCTCCTCCAGCTGTTTGCGCAGCTTGTGGTTTTCCAGCTGTTCTCCCTACGTGGTGCAATAGCATGTGAGATGCAGGCAACACACGCAATGACACCAAAATGCTGTTTTCAGCGGTGCACATGGAGGGGATCAGAAGAGGGGTCAACAGATAGACAAAATAGGAAAACAGGGCCCAGTAAAAAGTTGATGGGTCATGTACTGGTGCGGACAATGTAGCAGAAAATACGGACACTCACGAAAAGTTCAAAAATTTCAAAAAAGTTACGCTTTTCCACGGCACTGTTCCCTGCCAAAATGCCCATTTCCCACGCAGCTCCCTAGCACAAGGGTACAAGCTGTCATCTGAAGAAATGGAACGAATGCATGCAAGGTCACTGGGAATAGAGCTGTAAGTCGTCTGAACCCTGGTGCGACCGGAGACCAAACAGAGCCCAAGACTATGATGTCACGTATAAAACCAAAACAGTGCAGGTGATGAAGCCTAAAATGATCCTTATTTCATACACATATCATACACATATCTTTATTTCACACGTTCTTTTGCGCATATAGTACCACGCCAGGCATGTTAGCTTTCCCCTTAAAGCCGACGCCATTATCCCCACCTCGAGTTCCTCGGTGGCCTTCTTTTTATCCTGTAGCGCTTGATGCATGCGGCCCTGGAGGTCGCGAATCTGCATGTCCTGCAGGCTGATCTTCTTCTCGGCATTTTCCAGGTCGCGCTCACGACGAGCCAGTCTGCCGGCAGGAGCACGGAGCGACTCACATGTGGCTCCGAGGAGCTTCTCAGAACGGCATGGTCAACTTAATCACCCTAATCACCCTAAAGAGGCCCATTTCCTCCATGCATCTGTGTGTATACCCTGTCCTGTGAGCCGTTAACAGTAATTAGGAGAGCAGAATGTCGCCTTTTTCGTGGCTTGATTCATCAACATCTCTCGAGGAGTCATGACAACCTGCCAAAACTAAACTGATTATATAGCCGCAGACATCAGACGGAGGACTGCAACAGAAGGCTGCCGCTGGCACTGGACAGCTGGCTGAGACAGCCGTAATTAGCTGGAGACGTGGACAGCCAGCTGTACCCACTAGCCTACGAGGGCGGTTAGCCGCTGACAGCCACATAGGAGGACAGTTAGCCGTTGACAGCAGCCTGGGAGGACAGTCGGCCGCAGATGGCAGCCTGGGAGGACAGTTGGCCGCTGATGCAGCTATAGGACAGTTGGCCGCTGACAGTACCCGGAGGGCATTCAGCCGATGACAGCACCTGGGAGGACAGTTGGCCGCTGACGGCAGCTTAGGAGGACAGTTGGCCGCTGACGGCAGCCTAGGAGGACAGTCGGCCGGTGACAGCAGCTTAGGAGGACAGTCGGCCGCTGACGGCAGCCTGGGAGGACAGTCGGCCCATGACCAGCAGCTTAGGAGGACAGTTGGTCGCTTACAGTAGCCTTGGAGGACATCAGCCGCTGACGGCAGCCTGGGAGGACAGTCGGCCCGTGACAGCAGCTTAGGAGGACAGTCGGCCGCTGACGGCAGCCTGGGAGGACAGTCGGCCGGTGACAGCTTAGCATGGACAGTTGCTGCTTACAGTAGCCTGGAGGACAGTCAGCCGCTGATGGCAGCCTGGAGGACAGTCGGCCACTGACAGCAGCTTAGGAGGACATTGGCCGCTGACGGAGCCTGGGAGGACAGTCGGCCGAAGACAGCAGCTTAGCAGGACAGTTGGCCGCTTCAGCACCTGGGAGGGCAGTTGGCCGTCTGACGGCAGCCTAGGAGGACAGTCGGGCCGGTGACAGCAGCTTAGGAGGACAGTTGGCCGCTTACGTAGCCTGGAGGGCATCACCGATGACGGCAGCCTGGGAGGACAGTCGGCCGGTGACAGCAGCTTAGGAGGACAGTCGGCCGCTGACAGCAGCCTGGGAGGACAGTCGGCCGGTGACAGCAGCCTGGGAGGACAGTTGGCCGCTGACGGCAGCCTGGGAGGACATTCGGCCGGTGACAGCAGCCTGGGAGGACAATCGGTCGTTGACAGCAGCCGTCCGACCCATTTTCCCGTTCGTCAGAGCACCCAGCTACCGCAAGAGCGACGTCTATTTACGCAGCCGAGGAGGGGAACTGGAGAGAAACGCAAACGGTCGGGATGACAGGCCACATTCAGCGACGACCGGCGCTGCATGCGTGGTCAATATTGGCTTATGGCGCTCGTCATCGACCGAGCGCCCTCCCCCCCCCCCCCCCAAGCGGGCGCCGCTCGGGAGGATCGACCCCACGTGACTTCACTCCCAGCGGGCGCCCTCCCCCCCCCTCACGATCCCCGTGCTCGGAGCCCATGCGAGCGCCAAGCTCCAGCGCCTGGCTGCAGCATTCTGACGCCAGATGTCGCTGCGGTGGAGCCGTGCAGCCCGTGCACGTGGTGTGCGCCCCCGCCCCTCCCCAGGATCCGGCTGGGGTTTGCACGAGCGGCACGCGGCCAGCGGCGGCGCACGGAGACGTGGGCGGCACCGCCGCCGGCCGGGCGCACGGTGGACGCTGGCATGACGTCAGAGGACGCTGGACGCCGGCCGGTGGACGCGCCAGGCCGCAGGTGGGGGGGGGGGGGGGCACCACACCCCAGCGCGCGGCCTCCGGGGCGCTGCACACTTCGCCCCGAGGTTGCAATAACGGCGCTACCAGCTAGTTAGTGGAGGAAACGGGTACCGGCTGGGAATTTTCCCCGAACGCGTACAGTCTTGAAATTCAGGTGTCGGAATTAAACGCCAGATGGCCGTAATTAAAGCACCCGAAGCCAAAATATTCGTTGTCGGCGTGGCCATGGAATGTGAATGAGTCCTTGGGTGCGCCATGCGGCGTAAATCAGCATTGCTCACCCGCGGGCAAATGTGTCGAAGCTATTTCTATAGCGCATGGCCCGTAACGGTAAATAATTAATTCAGTGCTGGGGTGGTGAAAAACTGAACTGTAACGAATATGAATTCGTCATGAATAGCAGTGCCACCTAACCTTGCGTTAAGACTGATGTATGATATAATATATGCATGTATAATATCGTATGGTCGTGACACTAACGAATATTTTGGAGCCATTGTCATCTGAACATGTAGGCAATACCGGGTGCGCCTGCATTCCTTTAAAATGCTTGGTGTGATAAGGATCTTTTAATCTGGAAGAAATGCGGGAGACTGATTAACCACAAAAATCGCTGCATTAGCCAAACTATCTTCAAATTACTAACATGGTTGCGTTGGCAGTGAAACATGTTTACTCGATCGCAAATATTTGTTGTAGCAGATGTCGAATGTGCCATAGTTTCGTGCTGCAATCAGTTTGATGACGGTGTGTTGGTCATCTACACGCCAGTGTCATGAGCTGTAGGTACCCACAGCGTGCTGTTCATTACACGCCCCACGTGTTCGCGAAGTTGCCAAGTTAAATAAAATTATTACGGTAAGTACGCCGCGAAAGCTTTCATTTCCAGCTCAGCCGTCATTGGAAAACACACTGGTGCATGGGCCGCTTCCATTCGTCGGTTGCCCGTGCAGGTGAGCCATACCGGCCTGACGACCTGTCGGCTGCCGGCGATCCGACGTCCGGGGATCGATCCACGCGGCTGGCCAGTCGGCCGCGGGCCCCGCGACCTCCGGCGGCCCGCCCCGACCTCACCCGCCGCGCCCACCGCCGGCCAGGTGCCCGGCGCAGCTGCAGAACTGCAGTAAAGCGTGCTTTTACTGCCTGTCGTGCTTTGTCTCGCAGTCTGTCGGCCCGCTCGCTCCATCTCTCTGCCAGGGCGGACTGTTGCCTGTCTCGTACCAAGTATCCAGTACTACTCGACCACGTACTTGGCAGGGCTGCTGAGCTGTCATACAAAGGCGCGCTTTCACTGCTTCTCTGGCCCTGTCTCCCATCCGGAGGCGTTGTCAGGAGCTGAGCTGAGTTGAGCTGAGCTGAGCTGAGCTGAGCTGAGGGGGACGGCAGAGCGCAGGGAGAACTCATCACACTGAATTTTAGCTTCCTGTCGGAGACCACCCATACTGCTAAAAGTAAAAATGGGTCTAAGGGGGATGGGCGGGCTCACCCCCTTTCCTTGGTTGCGCCTATGCATTCGTTTATCCACTTTGGTCGCTCCTTCCCTCTGCCTTCCATCACCAGTGCCGTTCTCGATCTGTTCAGTTGTTTCATTGTTATTATCCGTTTCCCCTGTCAGGTATTTTGCATTGTTTTTTCTCTACACTTCCCTCTATGCATTTACGTTTTGTTTGCTCGCACCTCTTTTTACCTGTTTTTGCCTACCGGTTTACCGGTTTTGTCCCTCTCACTCTCCGTCCCTGCCTGTCACTGGCCAGACGCGTAAATCTCCTCGCTTCTCCTCCACGCTGCACCCTCGGATCAACGTGCGCACCTAGGCACGTCACCCCCGCCGCGTCTGCGCTCACACGGCCCTGTCTGTCATTGTCCAGACCCGCCAATCTCCTGGCTTCTCCTCCACGCTGCACCCCTGGATCAGCGTGCGCACCTAGGCACGTCACCCCCGCCGCGTCTGCGCTCACACGGCCTTCGCCGAGGATTTATACGCACGTTAGGTCAGGGACGTCCGCACTAAAAACCGGACAACCTGTAGACACCTGCAGCGGCGCTAGCGGCTGTACGCACATTCCATGAATACAGCCAGACCCCAGCTGGCGGAAGGACGATAGGGTTTACGAAGCTCTCCGTATGAAAAAAGGCTGGAAGTCCGGTTTCTGACGGATTGGCCAACCGGCCACGGCAGCTGGCAGCTGGCAACCGTCAGTCATCTCCGCCATCTCGAGACAGATCGCCGCCAGCCGGTGGAAGAGCCAACGATCACTCAGCGGGCGTTCTTCCCCTCGGCAGCGCACGCGCCGTGCAAAAACCGTACCGCAAGTAGGCCACGCTGATGCATAGCTCACGCAGCGCAAGCACTCTGTTTAATCTACCGAGCCAACACGGCCGCCCAGCACGCCCCCCCCCCCCCCCGCGCCATCTGCGTGACTTTTGACGCGGCAGTCGGCGGAGGGACGGCCGACGCCCAGGTGCTGGCTGGGTGTGTGTCACAGACGAGCCGTGCAGAGTCGGGCGCCGCCTCTGTCGGCCCGTTAAGGCTATTTGTGGCGCTACATCTGGCTGGCGGTGGCCACGGCTCGCAGTGGGGCGGCCGCCACGGCGTCTCCCGGCAAGGCCCTAGCGGCGGCGGCGGCGGCGGCGGCGGCGGCGCCAGGTGCTCCGGCCGCGGGGCGGGTCAGCCAAACGGGACCACGAGACCGCAGGCCGTCCCGGGAGGTCAGACGCCCCCCGCGTCCGACACCAGGGGATGTGTGCTCAGGCAGGCCGTCTATTACCGCTGCCAATCACGCCGGCGCTGGCGTGTCGGTAGTGGTCAGGTAATGTGCGGCTGTCGGGCCGTCGCCTCCCGCCGCCACCGCCACGTCAGACCACCCTCTGTAGATGACGGAGCGCCCGTCTATTAAACGCAGTTCGTTCCCTCCTGACCACGCTTGACCTTTCGACAATCGTCACGCTCCAAAATAGAAAGCCGCCGTTGTGAAGGCCGAGGGCGAGAGTCGCAATGAAATCCGCGCGCGTGGCTCGGCGGCGCGGCGGCGGCCGGCGGCGCGCCCGGGCGGCACCGCGGTCGATCAGAGGGGCCGAGGGTGACGGATCGCGGCGGGGCGGCGGCGCCCAGCCCCCCGCCGGCGCCGTGAAAGCAGCGCCGAGGCGCGGCC